CCATCCCTTGGACTCTCACCAACATCAACTCACATTCCAGACTGGCTAGAGGAGTGTTGAGACACAGGAATTCCAGAGTAATGTGGGGGGCTGGAAACGTTATGTTTGCAAGCCAGGACCTAAATATATTTCCAAATCATTGCTTGTTAATTAGTAGGTTGGTGCTATTTGTACAACCTTAAATAAAGGAGGTAACCATGTTTTATCTTGGAAAACTTCTCAATGCTGCTTTGATTTCTATCTTATTTCTATGACTCTCACAAAGGTCCTGTGAGGAAAGTGCATGAGATTATTCACTTGGCGTCTTCTACCCAAGTTCAAGGTTATAAGATCAAGAGCATGCCGTTCAGGATGTTTTATAGTATCCTCTGCTTGTAGAATTCGAGCACTTAAAGAAGAAAATATTTTCTATGTCTCACCTGCAGAGTTACCTTTTCATCTTCAGGGAGGGAACTGAGTACCTGTGAAATACAACGTTCAAGGGTTTCTATTTTGGGTTTGAGGTTCTAATCTATGCATGCCAGCTATTTATGATGACTTAAAAACAACTCATGAGAGTTGAAGATGTGACTAAAAATTAGAGTACTTACCTTAGGTATGTGAGAACCTGGCCTTGATTCCAAGCACCACCTGGTCCGCCAGTGTTGCTGATAGTCACCTCCTCTTCCTCCTCCCCCCAAACACTGAGCATTGAGCTGGGATATGACCACAGGATATGACCCTCAAACCAAAGAACCCTCAAATAAATAACAATAACCTGCGCTAAGACATATTGCCTTGCAAATAAGGTATATCCTTAATCTTATTCTCTCTTAGATGAGTGTCAAGTCTAAGCAGCTGCTCTTTCTCTCTCTCTCATAGAGAATGAGAGACCTGCCTCATCTGGAGGCAAGTTATTTTCTACTAACCAGTGAACTTTTATCTCCCTGAAATATTCCTCCTCCTTTTCACTATCAAAATCTCATTCACCTTCAAAATCCCATTTGGAAGTGATGTCTTTTGTGTATTGAGCATTTGACATTTTGCCTGAAGGCAAAATTCTTCCTCATAGTTCAGATTTATTGAACTTGGAGGTATGCTTATATTGCATGTAGCTGACTCTGCTTCAATCCTCAGCAACACACAGGATTCCCGAGCATGTCCAGGAGTGATACCTGAGCACAGAGTCTGAAGGAAGCCCTGAGTATGGCTGGGTATGGCTCAACACCTGGCTCCCTTAAGACTGAGAGTTGGCAAGTGAATCTTACAGATTTAATTGACTGGTTCTTTGGATTTTTAATAGATAACTTTATAATATCTTAAGAAGCAAAAACCTCTGCTCTTTCTAACTTAAAAAGAAATAGCAACTGGGGATAGGGTTCAGTTGGTAAAGCACATGCTTTACACGTTTGCAAACTGCATTCAGCCCTTGCACTCCCACCAATACACATTCACACACACAAGATATAAAGAAATACCTATACCAATGCATGCCTATTAACTCCAATCTTTTTTTTAAGGTTTTTTTTCCTTTTGGGTCACACTGAGCAATGCACAGGAGTTACTCCTAGTTCATGTACTCAGGAATTACTCGTGGCAGTGCTGAGGAGACCAAATGGGATGCTGGGAATCAAACCTAGGTTAGCAGCGTGCAAGGCAAATACCCTACCCGCTGAGCTATTGCTCCAGCCCCTAACTCCAGTCTTTTATAACCAATTTTTACACATATGAGCACCGAGAACATTCTATAATTTTTTAACAGGGTCTTTCTTTTAAACTAAAAGAATCAAAGCACATCTCGCTGCTTAATCTCAAATATAAATGTGGGCAGCCATTTCTCTCCTCTGAGTTTGTAGAGCGCTTCTTAAAGTAGTTGCGTTCTCATGTATCCTATTGGATCAAGGTTTCTCACTGCTAGAAAAAGCAAGTTGCTCATTTTTACAAGCTTTTCTCCTCTGCCTCTCACTGAGGCTGTAGTGAGCACCTGATACATAATAGGTGTCCATGGATCATGAATGAATGAACGAATTAATCATAAATGAATTATGAGTCATAAATAAATTAACTTTAAACCTTTCCATTCAAAATGCATCATTCTGTCCATTATACTGAACTTGAACTGTGTGAGTAACATTTTGAATATATCTCTGCTTCCTTTTTTAGTGTTTCCTTTTATTTATTTATTTTTAAATTTTTATTAATGAAACGCCATGAGGTAGAGTTGTAGACTTACAAATTTTTGTGCTTGGGTTTCAGTTTTACAATGATAGAATACCCATTTCTCCACCAGTGCCCATTTTCCACCACCACCGATCCCAGTATCCCTCCCACCCCCTATCCTAGTGTTTCCTTTTAAAGTTACTTTCTAAAATTTCACCTAATAAAATGAAGAACCTGCTTCTAGGGAGAAAGACTAAGATGTTCCTGGCTGACTGCATACTCTGTATGTGGGAAAAACTCTTTGAGAGATAGAGATAGATAGATAGATAGATAGAGAGAGAGAGAGAGAGAGTGAGTGAGAGAGAGCGCTATGTTCCCTTTGATCCCAGTATCAGGTTCAGTGATCTGTTTGTATTTACCTTCTGTTGTTTCTTAGCAAAAACTGTCTTTGTTGTGAGGCTGGGAGATACAATCTGGACCAGTTGACTCAGGAAGACTTACTGTTAATCACCAACTATTATAAGAGGGTGACTAGCTGCCCAGAAGGGAAAGAGAAGGTCAGAAGCAGCCACTTGGAATGGTCTGATAGATCTGACAGTGCTGATTGTCAATGACAAGATGGTTTACCACACTTCTTAGAAACCAAAGGATATCCAAGGGAAATCCAGCCCTCTTGGGACTAGTGGGATTTCAGATAATTTTATTGAGTCTGGACTTTAGTTATGCTCCAGGAACTAAAAACATTTTGATATCTCATATTTCCTAAACCTAATTCTCTGGTGAGGAGATGGCTGGGGGCTGTGGCTGAAGAGAACCTTGTAATAGAATTTTCTGGAATTCCATAGGAAGGCTATATAGCATCATCATCTGGCTCGTGGGGTCATGCTTGGCTCTGTGTGCTCCTTTCTGTACATCATGCCATTTGGCCCTCAAAAGTGAAGTCACAAGGACAAAATTCACTTCTTCATAGTACATATGGGAACATGGATGTAAAGAGAAGTTAAGCCTTTTATCTCCACGTGCAGCACAGTGCAGGCATCCCTGAAAGCAAAAAAGAGGAAGGCTTTCAGAAACAGATCTGATCTAGAGCCAATCTCGCTGATTGTCTGCACTATGCAACAAATCATAGAGGTAATCTATCTATCTATCTATCTATCTATCTATCTATCTATCTATCTATCTATCTATCTATCTGAGAGCCCAGCAAGCTACCTTGCATATCGAATACGCCATGGGTAGCTTGCCAGGTTCTGCCCTGGCAAGCTACCCATGGCGTATTCGATATGCCAAAAACATTAACAATAATAGGTCTCATTCCCCTGACCTTGAAAGAGCTTCCATTATGGCAGCATTGAGAAAGACAAGTAAGGAGAGGCTGCTAAAATCTCAGGGCTGGGACGAATGGAGATGTTACTGGCGCCCACTTGAGTAAATCGATGAACAACAGGGAAGACAGTGATACTTCTAAAAAAATATTTTTGTGTTTGGGTTTCAATTATACAATGATCAAACACCCATCCCTCCACCAGTGCCCATTTCCTCATGGTGTTTCACTAATAAAAATTTAAAAAAAAAGGATGAGGAAGGAGAGGCTGATAAAATCTTTCCATTTAGTTCTTTAAAATAAACTTTTAACTATTTCTCTTGCTCTTTGTCATATGCTATAATATATATATATATATATATATATATATCATATAATGTACTGAAAAAAAAAATGAGCCCCTGAGCACCACTAGAGGTCACTCCTGAGCACAGAGCTAGGGATAGCCCTTGCGTTTACAGGCGTGCCACAAGCAAAGCCACTGACTGTCTCAACCCCTCTGGCCAAAAAAATTGCAGTATAGGAAGAATCCATAGAATGGGAGATTTTATTTATTTTTGTGCTGTGGCGTCAAGATTAGCTAAGGTCTTGCTATGCAAAGGTGATCCATTCCTAGCAGGCTGCACTGCCTGGAATCTGTTAGAAGTGGAGAGTTCCTTTCTTTCTACCTACTTCTACAAAACCTGAATCTGCACAGACTGGAGATGAAGGGAGAAGCATGTTGCCAGATGAGAAGGAATATTATTTCCAGAGTTATTGACATTTTTGATAAAATAATTTTTAATAATACTTGACATTTACGTATCATTTTACATACACAAAATGAGCTTGTCTATGTCTTCTAAGAGTCCTGCAAGGTACAGAGGAGCAGATGCTATTAAAATTAACAGAAGAAGAAACTAAGTCTTTTTTTTTCTTTTTTTCTTTTTCTTTTTAAAAAATTTTTATTAGTGAAGCACCATGACGTACAGTTGTAGACTTACACATTTTTGTGCTTGGGTTTCAATTATACAATGTTCGAGTAACCATCCCTCCACCAGTGCCCATTTTCTGCCACCACTGATCCCAGTATCCCTCCCACTCCCATTCCCCCCATTCCACCCTGCCTCTGTGGCAGGGCATTCCCTTTTGTTCTCTCCCTCCTTTTGAGTGCTGTGGTTTGCAAAAGAGGCATTGAGTGGCAATCATGTTTGGTCTATAGTCTACTTTCAGCATGCATTTCCCATCCTGGGAGGATCCTCCCAACACCCTTTACTTGGTGCTCCCTTCTCTATCTGGAAGCTGAGTCTTAAAGTGATAAAACCACTGGCTCTAAGCAAGTCTCTGAGCTTATTCAATCACTGACTTGTGCAAAGTAACCCTTGTTGAATGAACAGATGGATGAGTGAGTAGATAAACTACCAGCATACAGGGTCGGGGCGGGGGGAGGGGTGTTGTGGGGAGAGCTGGAACATGATCTTGAGACCACTGTCTATTAGGAGTAACTTTGCTTCTGAGGTGCTTTAGCTTTAGGACATTGCCTTTTCCTCCCTATTAGATTTGACCTCGCTCAGAGTCTTCAAGATGCCGAACTGGGGTGGAGGAGCTAAATGTGGAGCCTGTGATAAAACAGTGTATCACGCGGAAGAAATCCAGTGCAATGGAAGGAGTTTCCACAAGACCTGCTTTCTCTGCAGTGAGTTGAATGAACTCCCTGGGCAGTCCTATGTCCTAGCCCACAGTTAGCCATAGATACATCTATCAGTGCTTTTCAAAGTACAGTCTGGGGAGCAGCCACAGAACCTGGGAATTTGTCAGAAATATAACTTGGGCTCCACTTAACAGAAGGGAGAAAACTCTGCCGAGCACTCCCTTCCTCCAATAACCTGCCCCACCAAGAAGTTGTTTCCCTGCCACCTAAAGGCAGAACAAACTGGCCTCTGCCTGTTCTCAGTGATGAAAATCTTGACTCAGTTCAGACAAAGAATGACTGCACTCATTTGTGGAATATAGAGCAGCATAATATGAGACTAATGCCTAAGGAGAGTAGAGATTAGGGCCTGAAAGATCGTACTATGGTTTGGAAGCCAGCCCCATGTGCTGGGGGACAAGGCAGTTAGGACAGAAAGGGGACCAGCCACTAAGTAAATAATGATTGGAGGGATCACCCAGGTTGGTAGATATGTGCTGAAAAGACCAAACACAATGACCTCTTAGTATCTGTATCACAAATTACAATGCCCAAAATTAGAGAGAGAGAGAGAGAGAGTAAGAAAGACTGTACCTGCCACAGAGGCAGGTAGTTAGGTGGGGGAGGGGGGTTGGCAGGTGAAACACTGGGAATAATGGTGGTGGAAAATATGCATTGGTGGAGGGATGGGTGCTAGAGCATTGTTCGAATAAAACACAATCATGCAAGTTTGTAACTGTATCTCACAGTGATCCAATAAATTAAAAAAAAAATCTTGACCCAGTAGTAACATGTACAAATTGAGGCTTGACCAAAAAAGGAAGCCATTGCTGGTCTGGAGCCAGAGGATTCGGGCCTACATGTCATTCCCCTTTTCAGCTGTTGCTGAAGCCACTGCAATTGGTTTTTACTCAGCAACAACTGTGTCAAGTACATCCACCATGCTAATCCTGCAGGAGGCAGAACAGGGCGGGCATTTCGGGAGCTAGGCAGCACTAACTTGACAAAGAGAATCTTGAGCATCCCTGCCAGACTCAGATTCACAAATGTCAAAGCCTGGCTATCTTCATCAACCTCTGGTCCTCCGGGGGGTCTGATTCTGTCGGATGCATTTGACTGTAGATGAATCTTTCTCATCTCAGAGCTCAGGTCACAAGCATCTGCAGCAGAGCCAGGACTAGAACCTGTACTGGCACATACCCAACCCAGTTACTTAAGAACAGCGGAATACTCGAGTTCTTTAGAAGCTAGTTCTGATCTGAGAGAACAGCCTATTTGAACCACTTTTTTTCCAGTCCCTTTCAGTAGGTCTGGTTTAAAGGCTAGTCTGACTTCATTGGACATTTGGTGGACCCACCCCAGAGTACCCCCTTGTATCCCCTTAAATCCAGGGGCTGCAGACATTACACTGCTCCAAACTGTTTCACACCGCACTTTGAGCATTTGATCCATCTGTTAGTGCAAAAAGACCCTCCACCCCCAATGCTTAGCTGCCAGAAATAGTAATGTTCTATTTGCTGCAGGAATTTTCATTAGCTTTTACCTCCCACAGCAAGCATAATTATACCCCCAAACAGGGGGGAAATGCTGAATGATTGGGTTGGTAGATTTACTGATGCTTTGGGTTTTAATGACAGGCAATTATTTTTAAGTCATTATACATATCCATCAGACTCATACTTACTATTACAATTATTCAGAAGTCATTGCTCAAGAGAGTTTATTTCATATCCTCTGGCTTTTGTCCAAAAAACTCCTTTATTAGGAGTGGAGTGAGATATTGCAGTGAAAAATGATTAGAATTTGAGTCTTGGCTCTGCCTATACTGACTGAACTTGGGGAAGTCATTTTTCCATTAAAACTCAATTTCCTCATCTTTGTAGTAGATGGTTATACTTACTGCACAGATATTATAAGAAGAAAGATATAGTCTTTGAGGAGGAAATTAAGCCTTGTAGTCCTTGATACTATTTAGAGTATCAACTAAATACTTTTTAGAGACCAACTTTGATATCTCAATGGCTTGGGACATGGGAGGGAAGTTTTCTCTGGCACAAGATTGTTCATCTTTCCCAGGGAGCAGGACAATTCCTTATTCAATGTCTGTCCAATAGGAATAGGCATTGAGCGTTTGGTGCTATATCCCTTTAAATCCTTTGATATTTTCCTGATTCAAAAGTGTGTGTGTATGTGTGTGTGTGTGTGTGTGTGTGTGTGTGTGTGTGTGTTGGGGAGGTACTAGGGATGACACATAAGCATATAAATTTTATGGTGGTGGACAGAAGGCTCTGCCAAAGAGCATGCTTTTCTATATTATTATCACAAGACTTGCCTATTACATACTACCTTGTAGTTGGTGAAAACGGGTACAGAGAGGGAGAATCTACTTTAACTTGGCTCTGGGTCAGTCTTCTCTCAACTTAGTTAAAGCAAGGATTGGTGATATCTATTTTTTGAGGTGGGAAAGGGGATTGGTGAGGAGTGGGGATCAAACACAGGGGTGCTGGGGGCTATTCCTGGCAAAATCCTTGGGATATACTTTTGGCAGTGTTCAGGGGACCATGAAGTGCCAAAGATGGAACCCAGGGTACTGAATGCAAAGCATATACCCCAACTCTTTGGGAAGTTTTCCTGGTTTATCCACTTTAGTTTGGATAAATCTTAATGCTTCATACCAATGTTACCCCAAACAAACAAAATGCAGGGCAGTGATGGTACAGTGGGTAGGGTACATGCCTGGTCCATAACAAACGTGGGTTCCATTGCACTGCCTGTGGTCCCCTGAGATTCCTAAGTATAGTGTGTACTTCCCCACAAAACAAACAAATAGAACTACAGTTTAAGCCACATTTGTAAATTTAATATTTTAGTTACCTTAAAAGTATAAAGAAACATGAGAAAATAATTCTTCAATGTTTTACTTAGCCCAACATATCTCCAAATTATTTCAATGTGTAATCAATTACACATTAATAAAGAGATGTTTTGTATGCTTTCTTTTTTGGGAGGGGGTAGGGGAGAACTTGAGGCCACAACTGACTGTGCTCAGGTCTTACTCCTGGTTCTATGTTCAGGGATCACTCCTGCAGTGGTGGAGAGAGTTGAGAAAGGGAGAGGACCACATGTGGTGCCAGGAATCAAACTCAGGCCAGCCATGTGCAAGGCAAGCACCTGTACTACCTCTCAAATGCCTGTATTCTCTCTTGACTATACTGTGTGAAACCTAGCATATATTTTGCACATGGGGGGGGGGGGCGTGCAATGAATTCAATGTTGTATTGGACAATGTGGCTTTTTCAGTGCCCAGGTATGAATCCAGGGAGTGGCTGTGGAGGTCAGGAAGTTCTAGTGATGGGAATCAGCACTAGAACTGGAGCCACAGGCCTGCGGCCAGTCAAAGCTCTGCAACCCTCTACTGCTGGGCAGTGCATCAGACACAGGGTCCACAAGCATGCATGTGTACACACGCTTTCTTGCTCACTCTCAACCCCTCACTCACATACTCACTTACCGATGGGTCATAGAGCATGAATCTGGGACAAGACTTGTCTATATTCTGGAGATATTAAAATAAAACACCCTTGCCTCAAGGAACTCAGAGTCCAGAATAACAATGAATATTCAAGACTGGTCTGGGGCCTGGTAACTGACAGCAAGAGAGAGAGAGAGAGAGAGAGAGAGAGAGAGAGAGAGAGAGAGAGAGAGAGAGAGAGAAGGGAAGAGACAATTACAGAGGCTTTAGTTAACCCACATAAGGCATTTTTGTACCTCAAATATAATTCATCAAAGCGGTCTTTTGTTTTTTTTTTGTTTAATTTGGGGTAAGGGACTTCTAACCGGTACTCACAGATGTCAGGAGCTACTTCCAGTGATCCTTAACTTGGCCTTGACCTGAGAATTCAATGCTCAGTTCTGGTGAAAACCATGCTGCTTGTGCCTATTGGTGCTGGAGCTAGAACTCAGAGCTTCCACTGGCAAAGCGGGTGCTCTGGCAGGTGAGCCTTCTCCAGTCCAAAGCAGAGGACTGCTCCAAACCTTATAAAGTCTCTTCTGATTTAGGGCAGTCTTCCTTCCCTCCTTCCCTCCCTCCCCTCCCTCCCTCCTTCCCTCCCTCCCTCCCTCCCTCCCTCCCTCCCTTCCTTCCTTCCTTCCTCCACCACCCACCCTCCCTCCCTCCCTCCCTCCCTCCCTCCCTCCCTCCCTCCCTCCCTTCCCTTCTCCACCCTCCTCCCTCCCTCCCTCCCTCCCTCCCTCCCTTCCCTTCTCCACCCTCCTCCCTCCCTCCCTCCCTCCCTCCCTCCCTTCCCTTCTCCACCCTCCTCCCTCCCTCCCTCCCTCCCTTCCCTTCTCCACCCTCCTCCCTCCCTCCCTCCCTCCCTTCCTCCTCCACCCTTCCTCCCTCCCTCCCTCCCCTCCCTCTTTCTTCCCTCCCTCTTTTTTCCCTCCCTCCCTCCCTTCCTTCCTTCCTTCCTTCCTTCCTTCCTTCCTTCCTTTCTCCTCCACCACCCACCCTCCCTCCCTTCCTCCCTCCCTCCCTCCCTCCCTCCCTTCCCTTCTCCATCCTCCTCCCTCCCTCCCTCCCTCCCTCCCTCCTTCCCTCCCTCCCTTCCTCCTCCACCCTTCCTCCCTCCCTCCCCTCCCTCTTTCTTCCCTCCCTCTTTTTTCCCTCCCTCCCTCCCTCCCTCCCTCCCTCCCTCCCTTCCTTCCTTCTTTCCTTCCTTCCTTCCTTCCTTCCTTCCCTATGGGCCAGAACCAGTGGTACACAGGACTTAAGCCTGGCTCTCTGCTCAGGGATCATTACTGGAAGGGTTCAGAGAGCATATATATGGTGCTGGGGATAGTACCTGGGTCGTACACATGCAAAGCAGGCACCCTGCTCTCTCTATTTCTCTAGCCTCATCCCTTTTCTTTTTAAATGGTATATTTTTTACAATTTTTAACTTGCGCAACACCGAGTTCCTAGTTTAATGAACTCCCATATGCAGTCTGCCCTGCTGCACTGTTACCTCATCTACAACCTTCTCTTGTTTCTCCTGCTTCCATATTCCACTGCTTTATTTTCTAAAAACAAAACACCACTTGAGGATGCCCTAATTGAAATTGAAAGAAACAAGCTCTTTCAATATTGACTATAGAGGTCATTTGATAGAACTGGTTTAAAAAGAGAGACAAATAAATTGAACAGTTGCACTTGCATATTATACCTCCCTGACCATCACCATGAAACGAACAACCTTTAACGATTACTGTTGCAAAGCAAGGCAGCAAAAGCTATTAAGTTGTGAAAATGCTACATATTTTTGTGAGCAGCCCTAATGCTGTACTAATAGGTATTTCTGACTAAGCTATAAAGTCCTTGCGGAGGAACAACCCAGGCTGCCTCACAAACAAGGCAGGTGGGTGATGGGCTTTCAGGAGAGCTGACCACAGCCTCCCAAGGTGACTCAGGACAGGGAGAAGCAAAGACAAACTCTGGCTACAATTGTTTCCTGGGTTTGTGGGAGATGAGAAAAAAGCAACATCCCGACATCAAAATAGTATTCGTTTCTGTTCTTAACTTAAGTATTATGTACCTGTAGATATCTCACATTTTTATTTATATCCTGAAGTTAAATTTTTTTAAGCTGAAAAAAAGAATCTTAATTTTTTAAATAAATTGTTGCTTTGGGAGAAATAGGACATGCCAAAATGCATTATGGGGGAGGGGACAGTTAATGCCAGCTAAAACAAGGAGCCAATAGAGGCTCCTTGCAGCCCCTCCTCTGCTTCCAGAACTAGATGAAAATTCTAGCAACTTGTGATCAGCAACTTGTGCTCTGCACAGACTATGATAAGAGAAACTGTAATTCAGGTTCTTATGTGATTAAGAAAAAAACATTTACTTTCTCTGCTGCCTCATCTCCTTACCTCCTCCCACCTCTCCTTACACACACACACACACACACACACACACACACACACACTTCCCCGAATCATTTGAGTTGGGAATTCTGGATTGCAGGTTGTTCTGAGACAGTCCAAAACCACATCCCTGGTTCCATGGCAGCCTCCACCTCTTTCTAGCTGGATTCCACTGGATCCAGTTCCTTCCTTGGCTGTGAACCCACAAGCCTCATCTGTGAAATCAGGACCAGACAGATGCTGTGGTTGTGTTCTTGGTGTGTGTGTGTGTGTGTGTGTGTATTGTGTGTGTGGGGGTGCCTCCTGCTGGGTACCTTGGCCAGAGCATCACTGCAGGTGTAGGGAGTTGGGAGAAATCTCAGCCCACCCCAGCCTGACTTCCTTTCCTCCACAGTGGCCTGCAGGAAGGGTCTCGACAGCACCACGGTGGCAGCACATGAGTCAGAGATCTACTGTAAAGTGTGCTATGGGCGCAAGTATGGCCCCAAAGGCATCGGGTTTGGACAAGGCGCTGGCTGCCTCAGCACGGACACAGGCGAGCACCTGGGCCTCCAGTTCCAAGAGTGAGTTGCCACCCCACCTCAACCAGTCCCAAAGATCCCAGTTCTCAGGATGGGTCCTTCAGTTCCCATAGCAACACATTTCTGGGAGGAGGAGAATAGATGCTATTGTTGACTTGCAATGATAGGAATACTTAGTCTGATCAAGTTTTAACAACCTGTCACTTCTCCCAAGACTCTCTAAATGATCTGCCTTCCTAAAGCGCAATTACTTTTACACCCCGGCTCTGGTTTGTTTGTATGTCAAGAGAAAACTCAGAATATACAGATGTTCCATTGTCTGACCTTTGCAAAACTGCTGGAGGCTCTTTGCATCCCTTGGAGCATTCCTGTGTAAATCACATAAATGTGGCAGGGAAGCAATGGCCATTCTCTGTGGGCTTGTCATTAAAGATTTCTTCTGCTGGGTTGCAAAGTGACTAATGTTCCCATCACTGGGGAGTGGGTCTTTGGGGACTGGCTATTGAATGTATTTCATCGGATGTCTTCTACCAATTGCGCTGAGGGTCCCCCAACACCACCCCAGGGAAACCAAGAGAGCATCTCAGTTTCCTCATCTTGACAATCAAGCTGACCTCCAGTCCATAACTGAGCAAAGATGGACAGCACTGGGCTGCAGCCTTGATCGAGAACAGTGGTATCTGGCCTCTGCAGTAGGACTGGGCAGAAAAAGGTGTCCGTGCTCCCAGGTCAGCATCTGTTACATCTGAAGAATCTTTCAGTGACAGTGGTTCCTGGTAGAGCCTGCTAAAGAGAAGACTGGTGTGGTCAGTTGTCTGAATTTTTCTCATTATCAAATCACAACCAGAAACACATTTTGTTTGTTTATTTTGGATTTGGGGCCACACTCGGTGGAATTAAGGGCTTACTCCTATGTCTGTGCTCAGGAATCATTCCTGGCGATGCTCAGGGGACTGTGTGTAGAGGTTCCAGGATCCAACCAGGTTTGGCCAACATGAAAGCCAAGGGCCTTAACTTCTCTCCTATCTCTCTAGCCATTGGAGACTCATTTGAAAGAAAAAAAAATGTTGATACCAACTGCATTCTGGGCTTTGCATTACCCAAAGCTGACTCTGCTGCTTGGGTTTTCTTGTGAAGAGGAATCAGAGTGTGGAAAGAAATCCAGTAGGATTAGTGATGAGCTGTAAAACTGGGGCAGTGACTGTCAGACCCACAATCTCCTCCAGTGCTCCCTGTGCTCCAGTGCTCACTGTCTTTTTGACGGGGCAGGGAGAAGCCAACATTAGGTGGCACAGACTGGCCTCAGGCTCATGTGCTTCTCAGATACTGCCTTTTTCAGAAGCCCCTGTCAGCAAAAAGATAATGACTTTCTCAAGACTCCGAAGTTGGTTATGTGTTTTACCCATAAAATAATTTTAATTAAAGTGCATAAATTGTATTTTAAGATTTTATGCTTCTGGTACACTTAAAATAGACTATGGTAGAATATAAACAGAACTTTTATATGCACTGGGAAACTCAAAACATCACATGACACACTTTATTGCAATACGCTCTTAATTGCAGTGGTCTGGTATGAACCTGCAGTATCTCTGAGGTATTGTACAAAGAATACCCCAAAGGTATAAAAACAGAGCACTCCTTACTGTGTCTCTTTATTATGGATGTTGTTCTCATGGGGACAAGAGACCTTTGGCTGCAGGATTGAATTGTGATGAAGACTCATCAGCTCCTTGGAACTGTGGTTTTAGTTCTGACTGTCAAGACCTCATCTTGCACTATCCTAACACATCTGCAACAATAGAGACCTGATCAGTGGCTTTCAAGATGGTTCAGAGAAACCTCAATGAAAATCCACGATGCGAGGCTAGAGAGACAGATGAACAGGCTGAGCAGAGGCAGGAGTCCCTGGTCCTACCCCTAGCAACCACAGGGTTCCCGAGCACAACCGGGGTGACCTCTTAGCACATAACAGGGGTGACCTCCTCCCCACCAAAATCCACAGCAACAGAAACGACACCATGACAGTAACACAAATTAAAATATCTGGAAATCTAGTAAGTGCTTCATAACGGAAAGGAAAAGATTTGTCAGTGGTAGCTGTCAGGTATGTATTAGTCCATGACACATGCAGTCAGGGCACAGTCTGCTTTGCTCATTCTGCCTCATTTAAGTCTTTCAAAAACTCTGTAATGAAGCCTCCAAGTTGATCTTCATTTTTCCAGAGAGGAGTTCCAGGCCCCAAAGAATCAATTTACTCAAGGTCACACAGCTAGTACTGTGGTGCCTTGGGAACGTGACAGCAAACACTTGTCTTGTGTTTTACCTTCAGGTCCCCAAAGGTGGCCCGCGCAGCCACCACCAGCAACCCTTCCAAGTTCACAGCGAAGTTCGGAGAGGCAGAGAAGTGCCCTAGATGTGGAAAGTCAGTCTATGCTGCCGAGAAGGTGATGGGCGGTGGCAAGGTGAGGACTTCTATCCGAGCTAAACAAATGTGCTTGTCCCCAGTGGACCAATTGGAGGAAGGTTGAAAAGAAGAAACTGCAGGCAGGTGGGAAGCAGGCCTTTCAAATTCCTTAGCTGCCAGGAGCCTCTTGAGGCACCACCTCACCCACTCTAGCAGGCGGTGACCCAGACTTGCTACCCACATGGTACCCTTGGAGACTAGAACTTCCAAGGGTGAAATTCCATCCAAGGGTTAATTAACCCAGAAGGTGGAAGACACTAAGATAGTGCTGTGGAAGAGCAAAGGGCATAGGCTCCCTCCTGCCCTCAGTGTCCACCATCCTTCCAGAGACGAGTGAGCCCTGGGAGCCCATCTCCATGGCCTGATGCAGTCACTGGCAGTGCTTCACTGCTGGTGGATACAGCAAGCCCCACGGGACACAATCTGACTCACAGCTCAGACACGTCCTGGCTTTTGGGAGAGTTGCCGAATATCCAAGATAGAAATGCCTGTTTGCTCTGAAAACTCTGATTTAAGACTTGAAGTCAGGGAATGCACCAGTGGATGTAGGATTAATGAAAGGAAAGAAAGTGCCCATTCATAGGAAATGGGGGTAGAAGGAGGAAGGACCAGGGAGAGCATCTACCCTCCCATCAGAGATAACCTTCACCTTGTTGGGGCTCCCATGAGAACCCCTAGTTGTGGCCTGGTAGACATGCAGATGTGCACTGCATTTTCCCAGACACAGAGTCTGATCCAGACACAGAGTCTCTTCCATAAGCGACATAGAGAATCAGAAGGAGGTTGGATTACTTCATGTCCTTGCTTATCTCTTCTTTAACTTTATAGTGAGTATAAATGTTACTCCGATCCCCAACTTTCCCCTTTTTCCACATTGTTCCTGGATCTTCTGGAAAAAGACACCCTTTTCTATGTATTTTCTACCAATGGAAGACATATGGAAGTTTTCATAGTGTGTTGAAGGAATCTGAGAATAATTCAGTGAGTCCATAGCATCTAATTTTCCCCAAACCCCCAGAAAAATTACTCTGGGGGCTGACTAGGGATGTGAATGGTTTAGACAGTGGCTGTTCTCCACACGCTCTGGTGACAGACATGGGAATGATTGCAGCAACTTTCTAACTCCCTGCTCTCCCTGACCTTTCCAGCCTTGGCACAAGACCTGCTTTCGTTGCGCCATCTGTGGGAAGAGTCTAGAGTCCACAAACGTCACTGACAAAGATGGGGAGCTTTACTGCAAAGGTGAGTGGTTCTGAGTCTCTCCTAGATTCTGGGCTGGGGAGGGGAAGGGGCATCCACACCCAAAGGCTGGCATCTATCAGGCAACCTGGCACTCAGCCTTAGTAAGAGCAAGGTTCTCAGGAAGGAGCCAAATCACCCTAGGGAAAGAAATCTCTGTGCCTCTCTCTCAGAGCCTGGTGGGGTGAAAGCTGAGGCTGCCAGATGTGCATGGATTTCAGCAGCTGGATACTTGCGGTGGGGCGGGGGGAGTGAGGATGAGGAGGAAGCTGTGTACTGACTGGTTCTGGATGTCGCTAGCCAAGACATCGAGCAACACATTTTCTCTGAAAACTCAAATACTCATGTAGTCACTTGAGTAGTATATTAGGGATCCTTCTCAAATTGATGAAGATTTGGCCTCTCTCTCCACCCCCTGCTTCCTTCCTGGTATCTGTTTCTGATGATGCACATGCCTTCATGGTTCCAGGGACTGAACCATTTTCCGCAGGTCTCAGGACTCTGCTGCCCCTCACTGTCTTATAATCCCTTTGTGTTGTGGGGACAGAGAGATGGTAAAGAAGGACCATGTTAGGGTCAAGACAACATATTCTTGGGGCTGTAGCGATAGCACAGTGGGTCGGCCTTGCACACGGCCAACCCGGATTCGATTCCCAGCATCCCATATGGTCCCCTGAACACTGCCAGGAGTCATTCCTGAGTGCAGAGCCAAGAGTAACCCTTGTGCAATGCTGGGTGTGAACCAAAAAGCAAAAAAAAAAAAAGTCTTCTCAATTACAGAGCCTGTCCGAGGCCTGTTCTTTTTTTCAGTGGGATCCTCCCACTTGCTAAGTTGCTGAAGGCGTTTCAGTGTGAAGGGATGAGAGGAGAGTGGTCAAAGGGAGGCCTTTCCTAACCATGCCTGAAGGGGACCAAAGCCTTTCCCAAAGGGTGATGGGCTAGGAACCAACACCCTCTCTGACAGGGCTGCCTTCTACAGGATGTGAAGACTGCTCAGCATTAACATGATGCTGCAGGCAGCACGGAGACCAACATGTAGACAAAGAATTGTGTTTCCTGTGAGGAGAGAGATGGTAGCCAGCTGTCAACAGTGCAATAGCACAGAGAAGGGGAGTGGTGGAGATCTGGTGTTTAGAAAAGGTGTCTCGCAAGGTAGAATTCCTCAAGGTCTTAAAGGATGATGGAGTTGGAGGGAAAATTTGAGATGTAAACCATGAATGCCAAGGTACCAGCAAAGCCTGGGCATCATAGTTTGTTTCAGAAACTATCCTTGAGTGTAGGGAGGGAACCTGAGGGAGAGGCACCGAGGGATGTGGCAGAACCGGCTCCAGATGATATTGATTCAAAGGAGGAAATGTTGTGAACACACTTGGAGAAGTGCAGAGACACAAACTATTTTCGTGTTCAGATTGAAAGGAAATGGAGTTCACTTACTTTCAAGTAAACTTGTGAATACATTTATTGAAAAGAGGCCTCTCACAGATGAGAGAATCATGAAAGAGTTGGGATAACCTGTCTTTTTTCTCTCTTCTTCTTGTTCACAGTCTGCTATGCCAAAAATTTTGGTCCTACGGGTATTGGGTTTGGAGGCCTCACACAACAAGGAGAAAAGAAAGAGTGAAAAGCCCATCATTTCTCACCTCCCTCAACAACCTCAGACATTTGCCAAGCCACCCTCCCCAGTTTGAAGCCTTCCCCCAAACATGGTTTTGAGTCTGTCTGGACAGTATTTCTCCTCGGAAGTGACTACTGTCTTGCCCCAAATTAGAAGAGACCTTCGGAAGAAAATGACTACAACTCTAACCTGTAATAAGTGCTTGATTATTTACAATACCTGGGATGGGAGAGGCAGTAAATAAAGGTATGTGGTTGTACTTTGTATCTCTCTGGACCTTTTCTTGCAATTCGAGGGATGGGTTAAAAAACAAACAGGAAGTTAATTTTAAAAATCAAACACCCCAAAAACTAGCAGCAAAGGATGAGACAAATTTTGATGATACTTGGGGAAGGTGTAAGACAGAGAAATGAGTGGAAGAAGGAACGGAGCCTTCCAGAACTTGTCAGCTGAACTTCTACCTAGATCCTAGCAACAGGACTAGACCGCAGGGTGTCGGGAAGGAGATGGATGAGGAGAGCAGTTCTGAAAGGCACATCAACAGTATTAAAACTGCTGAAGCATCCACCCTTTTGTCCTAGCCCGGGCTTGGCAATTTCATGGAAACTTGGAAATGGAAACAACACGTGGAGTTAGCTTCTGTGGTATAAATGACAGGGAGGGTGATTTTCTTTTATTTCGAGACAATTCCCTAGGGTTTAGCAATTTTCTTAAAACTTCTCCTACATCAAATTGCCATGCTCACAAATGAAATGTGGCCAATTAACGGCGTCTTTCCCTGCCGCCTCAGCAAGTTCTTGCTGGCTTGAGCGCACGGCGTGTTTTCTCAGGCCTCTGCTTTTAACAACCCCAGCATTTCTCCCACCAATGTGCGATTCTGAACTATTCGTGGCAAATGAAAGCAAATGAGTCTATTGATAAAAGTGATAAAGCACTGAACTAAGGTTTTTTTATATATATATATATATATATATATATATATATATACACACACACACACACACCATGAAACTTTCTGAAGACTTTTTTTTTAAAGGAGCTTTCATTCAAAGATGTTTATATGCTGGTTGAGACGGGCAACGTGGCCAACTTTCTTAGCTATTTCTCTATTAATTTTTGTCTTCTCAAGATGTGATTACAGCTCTTTATTTCTTCCACTTGATGGGTAGTAATATAATACTTTAGCAGAGAAAACAGTACAGAGGTATTGTTCCATTTCACCTCCAAAGAGATAGTGTAGACATGTTATTTGTTCAGAGACTCTGGATTCAGCTGATTTTCCACCCTCAGGTGCACCAAAACAAACTGAAGATGGAAATATTGCATGTTCTGTGTCCTCTGGGTTGGAAGAATGCAGCAATGCAATTTTGGGGTAGGGCACAGATGGAGGTGCTCAGGGAGCAAATCTTGTGGTGCTTGGGACCACGTGGTGCTGGGTACTCAAACCAGTGACAATGCAGTAAACACATGCAAGGCAAATGCCTTAACCTCTGCACTATCTCTCTGGCCTAGGGCAACACATTTTTTAACTTGTAAACTTTTAACCAGAACTATATTGAAACCTGCCATTATCCATCCAACAATATCAGCAAGAAATGGATTTATTAAGCTAAATCTGCTTTGATCTGCACTAATTTTAAAATGGTAGCCAGTCCCTTACTCTAGGAACTTCAGGGCTTACAGAGGGTAAGACCCATGTGCGAAATTGACTACAGGACAGAGCCTTCTCCTCCTCTGTTGTGTTTCACACTTCTCAGTCCCAGATCCCTCCAACCAGGAGAATGAAGCTAAGATTTTAAGGTTTTTTTTTTTTTCCTTTTTGAGTCACACCCGGCAATGCTCAGGGGTTACTCCTGGCTCTGCACTCAGGAATCACTCCTGGAGCACTCCCGGAATCACTTCTGGAATCACTCCTGGCGGTGCTCAGGGGACCATATGGGATGCTGGGGATCAAACCCAGGTTGGCCGCATGCAAGGAAAATGCCCTACCCATTGTGCTATTGCTCCAGCTCCAGACTTTAAGGTCTTTAAGCTAAGACTTGAGGCAATCAGCCTCACCCTCATCCTCACCCTTCTTTGCCTCACCCGCTTAGGCTCCTTGATTCTGACTACAGAATGTTTCTCTAGAAATATACCCTCCTCTCTGGGCTGGAGTGATAGCACAGCGGGTAGGGTGTTTACCTTGCATGCGGCCAACCTGGGTTTGATTCCTCCGTTTCTTTCGGAGAGCCTGGAAAGCTACCGAGAGTATCCTGCCCGCACGGCAGAGCCTGGAAAGCTCCCTGTGGCGTATTCGATATGCCAAAAACAGTAACAAGTCTCACAATGGAGACATTACTCATGCCCACTCGAGCAAATCAATGAACAATGGGAGGACAGTGCTACAGTGCTACCCTCCTTTAATTCTGACTCCAACATCTCTCTAGAACCGATGCCTTCTATTCCTACTCTTTGCCATTTGTATTAGTTGGTGAATGCTTTCATAACAAAGTACCATGGACTAGGTGGCTTACGCAATAGAAATTACATTTTCATGATTCTAGAGACCATGAGTAAGATATCATTAGAGTTGATTTTGTTGAGGCCTCTTGGCTTGATCATGGCTGGCTTCTGTGTTTCAACATTATCTTCTCTCTGGGTATCTGTGTCATAGTTTTCTCCTTTTAAGACCACCAGTCATATTGGATTTAGGAACATTTGAATTAACTTTCTTCTCTATAGAGACCTCATATTCAATTATAGTCATATTCTGGTTAGCAATTTAACATATAAATTTAGGGGGACACAACTGAGCCAAGAACAATATGTCATAAAGACTTTCACAAATTGGCATTAGAATTATACCAATTTAGCTTTAGACAATATCTTCCATACAGCCTCCAGTTACATATATATACTTGAAGCTTTCCAAATAACTCAAACTCTTACTCCACGTTATTTTTACTTGGAATGTCAAAAGATAACACCCCTTCCATCTTTACTTTCTTATTCTCCTTTACCTCCTGAGCCTGGTGAGCTATTCATCAAGTCACAGATCAAATGCCATCTCCTCTGCAAGCTCTTTCCTGAATCACCTTTGTAGAATTATCCTGAACGACCTATGGAGAATTCATCCACCTCAGTGTTCCCAGAGCCAGCATCTAATTAATATAGCACTATTCTTATTGACTGAAATCTTGAATTTCCATCTGCCTCCTTGATAGAATGTGACACGTTTGTATTTGCAGTGCTCAACAAATAGTAGGCACTCAATAAACATTTGTGGAAGGAGTGACTTGGGAGATAGAACAGGCTAGAATAAATGCAAATTCTCCAAACTTTAAAAGGAGAAATTAAAGACTGACATATAAAAGGAGCCTAGGAAGAAAAAACCTTGGGCTGTAGAGAAAGTACAGAACCAGGCTGACCTAGGTTTGATTCCTGAACACACCATAGGGTTCCCCGAGCCCTGTAAGGAATGATTCATGAGAGCAGAGCCAAGAATATGCCCTGAACTGGGCGTCATCCCAAAACTAAAAAAACAGAAATACTAGAAAGGAAAAAAACCCAAAGCCACGAAGCAACCTTTATTGAGGCTCGGCAGTCTCATGCTTTCCTGCTGATTCCAAGGCACACTGTTCTATCACATCATGCAGGCTCTTCTACCAATGACTGACAGGGCAGAGTTTAGCCAAATAGATCTGGTCTCCAAACCCAAGTAGGGTCTGTGATCTCTTTTTATGCCTGTGGATGTAAAAGACTGGTGGAAACTAAGGCGCTAGGAAATGATGGAGCTAGTATTTGATTTTTTTTTTTTTGGCTGGGGGTAGGGGACATACCCGGCAATGCTCAGGTGTTACTCCAAGCTCTGTACTCAGAAATTACTCCTGGAAGGGTTCAGTGGACCATACAGGATGGCAGGGATCAAACTCAGGTCGGCCACATGCAAGGCAAGTGCTCTACCCATTGTACTATTGCTCTGGCCCCTGAAACTACTATGTGAGAAGGAGTGTGGCCCCAGCTGGAAGATCACAGCTAGAAGCACTGTGACAAGAGGGAAAACACATTTTTAGGTTGGGTTAAAGCACTGAGATTTGGGGGATGCTGCCTGTCAAGTTAGACCTCATGACTAACATATACTTGAAAGACTGGGTGTGCTATCTCCTCAACAAGCCATTTCTCAGGGTTCAATGTCTGTCTAGTCTGTTTAACTCATGAGCATCTTCAGGATTTTACTTGGTATTGGTGAAAGTGATTCCAATGTGTTGTCCTTGTGTAACTACACAGATATTTGGGAAAACAAATAAGGTTATGGTAAGAACATCAAAATGTCACATTACCTTGGTTTTGACAAACATTTCATTTACCTTGGTTTTAAAAGTAAAACCAAACCTTGCAGGCAAGCTACCACCCTTTTCCTTTCAGAGCAATACTGTAAGACTAGGTTCCACTTAGTCCTGTGTCTTAGCATCTGGCTTTTGAGTTTCCTCCCAGCTCCAACCCACCCCACTCACCTCCTATGGTCTCACCTCAGTTATTTCTCTCAATCTTCTGACCACTGACCCTCTCTTGTTGGAAATTAATTTGCCTTGACTTCAATAATATGGTACACTCCTGATTATACTCCTTCCAAAGGTCCCCTCCTCTTTCTCTAGAACCTCCTCCAAATACAGTTTCTGTAAGGTCTGGTTTTTGCCCTCCTCTTCTTTCATACTTCTGTTGTTATGGTTTGCTTTAACTGTCACCTTTGGTCCCTTTTGAGAAGTGATCTTCCATTTCAGAAAATGCAACAATTCATCTCTGCAGATGACTCTCATCTGTGCCCCGACTTTTCTAGATGTTTCCACTGGATAGCCTGCAAGTACATCAAACTCAGTAGGCTCCAGCCACAAACTTATCACTTAGTATCCCACATTGTTTTCCTTCTCAAAACAGCATTCTTACCCTCTCACTCAGGGGCAAATATTTCAAAATCATCTTTTACTTCCTCTCCCATTCACTTCCTTTTCCACTTCCCCTACTTCCCCACATTTTTTTTCCTCAGCAACATCTATTGAAACAGTGTGGTTTACACAATTATTCATAATAGTTTTAGGCATATAACATTACAACACCAATCAGACCACCAATGTCCTTTTCCCTCCACCAATATTCCCAGGTTCCCTCCTAACCCCAAACCTACCCCATTGGCAGGCACATAACAAATTTATTTCATTTTACTAGGTCCGATAAAACTTGGAGGAATGGCAAATAGAATTATCAGAAAATAAATCATTGAAAGTCAATT